CAAAGAAAGAAAGGAAATTCATATTTAACTAAACCAGGAGCTAAATCTACTATAAAATTATCAGAACTTATTTTATATATTAGAGATAATAATGATTTTAAACCATATCCACTTAGTGACGTTCTTCATTTACCATCTGATTTATCTGATTATGTTAAACAATCAATTGAATCATTGGATTATCTAGATTTTGAAGTTAAACCAATAACAATGGAAAAAATCAATAAAAAATTAAGTCCAAAAACTATATTTACTATGATGCAGATTTCGAAGATAGCACACAAGTAATTCATAAAGCATATTGTGTTGTATATTCTAACGAAATTCATCTCAAATTTCATGTAAATATGGTGGCGAGTGTGTAGAAGACTTTTTATTTGATAAAGTTAATAATTCCGTTGTTTACTTTCATAATTCGAAATATGATTCGTGTTTCTTGGCAAAATATGGAATTGAGACATGTATTAAGAAATACGGTAAAACTATGAAAATGAAATTATATTATAATGGAAAAAGAATTGTTTTGAAAGATAGTTATTCAATGATTTCAAATAAGTTATCAGATTTTCCTAAAATGTTTGATTTATCTAATATTCAAAAAGAATTATACCCTTATAATTATTACACCATAGAATTAATTCAAAATAACGTTGGAATAATTTCAGAAGCTGGTGAATATGAATCTCAAAAATGGAATAAAAAACAATATAATTTATTTAAAGAGAATAAATCTATAATCAATAATTGTTTAGTTGATGAAGACAAGTTCGATATGAGATTATATTGTAAATTCTACTGTTGTCAAGACGTTAGAATATTAAAAGAAGGTCATATTAAATTCAGAAATAATAATTTGAAAAGTTTAAATATAGATGTTGACAACTTTATTAGTATATCTGCTTTAGCTAATCACTATTTCAAATTACATGTTTACACACAAATTCCAAACTTAATGCAATATTCTGGGAAAGTTAGAGAATTTATACAGGGTGAAATATATGGAGGTAGAAATATGTGTAGAGATAATACAAACCAACGTGTTACTAAAGATTTATATGATTATAACACATGTTCGTTATATCCTAGTGCTATACATAGGTTAAAACTAGCAACTGGAAAACCTATATTAATCGCTCAAGAATCATGTAATAAAACTATATTAAACCACTTAATGTTAGAACAACAATTAGAACCAACAAATGAACGTTATATTTCAGCATTTATTGTAGATATTGAAATAACCAAGGGTAACAAACATTTACACTTCCCAATTATAACTAAGAAAGATAAAAAAGGTAATCGTAATGTTAATGAATGTTGTACAATGGGAGTAGATAATATTATGCTTGAAGATATGATTAAATTTCAACAAATAGAGTTTAATATTATTAGAAGATATTATTGGACTGGATGTAAATCTAATGTGTTTAGTAACGAGATTGAAAAGATATACAATTTAAGATCCAAACTTAAAAAAGAAGGTAATCCGTTACAAAATAATAATAAATTATTGATGAATTCATCATATGGTAAAACGATTCAAAAACCAATTAAAAATGACTTGGTTTACAAATATATCAATAATAAAGGAAAATGTGATTCAGATAGATATCTTAAAAAGAACTTTACATTAGTTAGATCTATGTATGACATATCAAATAATATCAGATGTTTTGAAACAAATAAATCATTTGATGACTTCTATGTTCCAAATCTCATTGGTGTACAAATATTAAGTATGAGTAAGAGAATAATGAATGAAGTTATGTGTTTAGCAGAAGATTTAAATATAGATATATATTATCAAGATACTGATTCAGTGCATATAGACAAAAATAAGATTGAATCGTTAGAACAAAAATATAAAGAAATATATGGTAAAACATTAAGAGGAGGTGAATTAGAACAATTCCATCCAGATTTTGATGAATTATCTGGGAATGTATATTCAAAAGAATCTTACTTCTTAGGTAAGAAAGCTTATATAGATGTATTAACAAACGATAAACAAAAACATGCTTTACATATGAGAATGAAAGGTATTCCAAACAATTTATTGGAAAATAATGAAAATCCAATTGAATTATATAAGAAACTCTACACAGGAGAATCTTATACATTTAACTTACTAGAATTAAAACCTAGTTTCGAATTTGGTAAGACATTTGATATTAAAACAAGAGAGAACTTTACTAGAAAAATTTAATTCTGAATGAAGACAACTTATACTTAACCAATTATTTACTAGACTTTTATATGTTCCCAGCATATATTAGTCTTATTTTTTGATTTGAAATCATTTGAAATCATTTGAGATTATTTTATAAAAATAAAATTAAAAATAATTAATTTGAAATAATCTTATAAAGTATGACAACATCTGATAACCTCTGAGAAATACTAAAAATATATAAAATAATATGAGAGTTTATATGAATTGTTCTAAAAATTTATCTATATTTTTACATTCAGATTCTGATTAAAAATTAATCAGATTCTGCATGAGTTTCTCGTCAACATGTTTGGTAGAATTATTATTTTCATGATATTTCCTTAGTGGTTTATTACTAAATGTCATTCCTTTATGATTATTATCTTTGATACTATATCTAACCCAATCGTCACTATATTTACTACCTCTAGGTTTGATTAATTTGAAAGTGTCGTTCTTAATTTGAAATAACTCTTTGAATTCAACTCTATAGTATAAATCAACTTCTTGATTATTTATATCTGTAATATGAACAAGTTTCTTTTTAATAGCTTTAATAATACGTTCAATAGTAGTTGTCATTTTAGACTTACAAAAAATTGAATTATTACTTTAAAATAATAGCTAAAAAATAACTTTAAAATAATTAAACCTAAACAACGGAGCGAAGCGACGAAATTGTGAGGATTGAGTGTTCCCGAAGGGTGTCCAAAATCGGCACAATTTATATACTACTACATAAAGAAGAAAAGTAAAACTTAAATCAAGGCAATTTCAAAATTAAACAAAAACACTGTTTTTATTAAATTTATTTTATAAATGAAAAAAAGTTCTTTTTAGTAAAAAGAATCAAAAAGAATTATGGTGTGACTTTTTCCCCACTCTTTAGTTTTTTTAGTTAAAATAAAATAAAAGTTAGCCTTTAAAGTTGATTCATTTTCAAAACAAATAAATGGACAAAGAAGACGATCGATTGCTCTAAAATATACTTTTTGTAAACGAAACCGTTTTTTCCACTTTCCCTCCATTTTTGTGTTTTAACAAAATTTCTACTAAAATAGTATGAGTTCAAACTAAAAAATTGAAATATGAACAAGACGGTAAATTTTGCGTTGTGTCACCATGGATATGACATCGGAGTCTTTGGTTTGTGTAAAAATCAACCAAGATGGTTCTGTGAGTATATGATTCAAGAAGTCGAAGAAGATGATGTTTATGATAAAGGTATAAAAATTAAACTTGAGGAACAATTTAATATCAAAAAGTGGTTGAAGAGAAGTGGGAGAGAAATGGAAGATGTAACTGTTACGAATAAGGCATGAGATAAAAGAAATAATGAGTTTTTTTATGAGGAGACTTTAAAAAATATCGAATATGCAACAATATGCGTTATTGTTGCATACTGTAAATGAATTGTGTTGTTAATCTACTTTAAATTTTTATTTTTCTTTTATAATAAATAAAAAAAAGAAACAACATAATAAATTAAATTTTTGAATCTTTTTTCCAAATCTTTTTAAAACATTTTGAAAATAACGTTATTCTTTTATTTTTAGAATTATTTTAATCAGTCACCCCATTTTTGTTCATTTTTAAATACTTTTACGTTTAAATATACAATAAAAGTGTCAACATAACCAATGATTTTGTTATAGAAAACTCTTTATTAAGAAAAACACACTTTCTGTGTTTACCTGAAAACTAGTGAATATTCAATAGTTGATACATGTACATCGAGTATTAAAACGTTTTGTTCGATGACGAATCAACATGTTTGCATTTGATAAAGGGTGTTGTTTCGTCACAATTTACACGTTTAATAAATGTAAAGTGTTATAAATTACCATAATCTTGTATTATAATTGACTATAAATTTTACTGTTAAAAAATAAATCTTTATTTTAATTCATAATGATCTTTTGTTAAAATAAAATTAAAAAAGAAAACCCCGTTATTAAAACAAAAGTATAACCATCTTCATAGCTCCGTTGCACTTTGCCGAAGTTTTATTAAGCGTTAACGCATCTTTGCATTTACTGCATGAATCTTTTCCATCACAAAGTCCACATCCACTAATATGTCTCTCACAATGCACACAAGCTCCCCATGATGTCGTGTAATAACCTTCTTTGGAAACACATTTACCTCCCTTAGCTTCAAAATACTCCGCATTACACACAGAGCATTTCTCTGTACTACACGAAGAACAGAATTCGTTCGATTTGTCTTTGCATGGATCTCAAGTCTGAATTTTTGTGTAGTAAACATATCCTTCAATGCACACACATATTCCATCAACAGGAGTTTCCTTAAAGAAATTTTCAACAGCACATTTAACACACTTAGTTTAGTCTTCACATGCTTTGCAATTTTTCGAACACATCAAACAGCTTTCTCAACTTAAATAATACCCATCATTACATCCTTCGCACTTCTTCCCTTGAACTGGCTTGCGGTTTACATCAATGCATTTTTCACAGTCCATTTCACTTGTACAATTCTCACATTTATTGTCACATTGTTAACATTTATTTTCTTTGGTGTCCAAGTAATACACTTTGATACACTTTTCACATGTAAAACCAGTTCTAAAAGTTGATGGATCACAAACAATGCAATGCTCTTTATCAGTGCAAACATTACAATTATCAGCGCAAGGTTCACATTTGCCATTGGAGTCCAAAAACATGTTAGTGTCTTTACATGTGGTACAATTTGTTGTTGGTTCTTTAATTTATCAACACACTCGGTACAATGGACGTAAATGCAGTTGTCATAGTCACAATTGCCTTTGCAAACCTTTCGATCATTGGGGCAAGCAACACATGTATTGGTATTTGGATCAAGGTAAACACCATTATCACATTCACAGTTTGGTATTCGTTTACCGTTCTTACAACCCAAACATTCTATATTTCCATCTTTAATTTGACACCCATTGCAAAATATTCTCGATATTTTTCAAGGTTAGTCATCTTTTTACAATTGGTAACTGTTGAAGCATTCGGTCGATAATATCCACTTTTACACATACAATTTTTAGTCACGTCTCTGTTGTTTTTCGCGCACTTTATTTCAGTTTTATCAGTAGTTTGTGTTCCGTACATGTAACTTCTTCTCAGTATTGGATTGCATTTACTTCCAGGATTGGTGGTCTCGTTATATGCAGGTACCAGCTCTTCAAAAAAAGAGTTGACTCCTTTGTACTTACAGAACTTATATGTTGTATCATAAGTATCAACAATTGCTATAATATTGTCAATTGGAGTTAATATGCATTTTCCATTCAACAAAACACCATTAGGGTTGCCATTGTTAAAACCGCATTTGTAACAAGTCACGCCATCATCGGCACATTGTGCTCAATTTGCTTCTTTTTTAACACATTCTTTAGATAATAGAATGTACCCAACATCACACTTCAAACAGTTGTCCCCATTTTGTCTTAAACAACTTTCAAGTTCTTTTTGTTCAAGTTGACAATGGAGATTTACAGTATCCATAGTCTTGTTACTAAAGCATTTCAAACATACTTGTTTGCCATCTTTTAAATCCAGAAAGAGCACAAGACGTTTTATCAAAAATTTCTTCTTCATTTGGAGCATCTTCACACTCATCTAAATTTACTTTTGTTACATTTACTGAATCAAAAGTACTCACACATTGTTTGCAAGTGTCAAAAGTGTCTTTAAAAGAACAAGTACAAGCACCTGTTGAACTACATTTATTACATCCATAATCACAAAATTTGCATTCAGCACCACTTATATATACATAAGGATCATTATCTTTACAATTTATTGTATCATAAACACACTTTCCATTCTCGAGTTTAAAGTAACTATTTTCACACTCAATACAATTGATAGTATCAGTCGGATTTCCATTATGATCGAGTATTCTTTTGAACTTTTTGCAGTTGGGATAAGTTGTTCTCGGTTCTTTGTCTTCAAGTTTCAAAAAAGGATCTGAGTTTGCCAAAAGGTTAAAAGCATTTGTTTAATTCAGTTTCATATTTTGTCAATAGAAACGAATTTTATTTGCGCTATTATTAGTATAATAATTTTTTTTGTTAATCAACTTAAGTTTTTTATGTCATCTTTTTTTATTTAAAAGACTCAACAAAAAATAATTCAAATCATTAATAATACATGTTTTTTGAAACTAATTTGTAATTATAAATGTAGTTTAAAACAACTTTTCATTTTTTGTTTGGGGTCCAAATTTATCACATAATAAAAATGGAAATTGTTCATTGATAAAGTATTTTAAACAAAAATATGTAATCATTTACAGTGTTGCAGGTTTTGATATTTTTATTGTGGTAATTGTTGTGGTTCATAACTAAAAATTATACATGGTTAACCCTTCCAATACTAGAAATATTATTGTTATAACACATATACGGATGAATATAAACTTAAATTTGTAAACTAAAAGTTATTCTAAATTAAACAGTATTTATTTTTAATATTATAGTTTTCAGTTCTGGTTTGATGTAACATTTATAATATATAAAAAGTTTGCACGTTTTATTTTTTGTATGTTATATAAATTAAAAGTCTAACACAGTCGTGTCATACATATTAGTTATTATATTGATTTAATAATACTGTAGAGTAATTTATATATGGGTTCTTTTTTAAAAAATTTGAAAAGGTAGTAATGTTATTCATATACATTTAATTTTGTGTAATGAAAACGATTTTTTTTAAAACGATAGTTAAGAAGAAAAAAATCGTAAATATATCTCGTATACATATGATTCTCAACAAAAGTTCATAAAGTGAGAACGCTAAACATCAGTGTGGTTGCACAACTAATATCAAAATATTTGATTATTTGTTACATATATTATAATTCAATAAAATGTCAACTTTTTTACAAAATAGTTACAAAACAACAAAACATTTACAATACAAACTAAATTAAAATAATTCCTTTTGGAATTTTCAAAGTATGACGTATCCCTTGTTTTTCAATGAAAGAATTTT